TTTTTTATTTTATTATCTAAAGTGACTGACTAATCAGCTTCTTTTTCAAAGACTCTGGTCCAAAGACTATAACTTGTGTTTTGTCTACATTCAGCAGCTGAAAGTTAAGAGTCATCCGGGTTTTTGTGTCTTCAAGACATGCCTGTAATCTATGTAATGGGTTAGCTTCGTCTGGATTTATAGACAGATATAGCTTAGTATCATCAGCATAACAATGGAAATGAATCCCATGCTGTGAAATAACTCTACCGATGGGAAGCATTTATATAGTAAAGAGAATTGATCCTAGCACTGATCCCTGTGGTACTCCTTTAGGTATCCCTGGAGCATGAGGAAGCTCTATCATTGACGTGAACAAACTGATATTGGTCAGATAGAAACTATTTAAACTCATCTAGAGCTATTCCTTGATTTCCCACATAATATTCAAGTCTTTTTAAAAGAATATTATGATCAACTGTGTCAAATGCTGCAATGAGTTCTAACAGGACAAATACAGATACAAGTCCTTTATCTATATATTGGTGACTTTCACCAGAGCTGTTTCAGTGCTTAATGAGCTCTAAAGCCAGGCTGAAGCTCTTTAAAAAGTTGTAAGTGGTCGCACACTTATTTGGCAGCTTCTTTCTCAAGAATTTAAGATAAGAAAGGAAGATTGAATATAGGTCAATAATTGACCTAGTCATCTGAGTCAAGAGAAGGTTTCTTGAGTAAAGGTTTAATTACAGTTACCATAAAAGCCTTTAGTACATATCCGTGTAACAGGGATAGATTCATTATTCCTTAAGAAACCTTTTCGCTCTGATTATTAATCGATTAATCGAAAAAATAATCAGCAGATTAATCAAGTTTCAAAATAATCTTTAATTGCAGCTCTAGTTAACTACAAAAAAATGTTTTGATGAAGTCTATCCTTTTCTATCTTGCTGTGATGCACCAGCTAATGCAAAGTTACATTACATGTTTAAGTTAGTTTTATATAGTTCTGGTAATTGGTGTTTGTTTTTGTTTTTTTTACAGGTTTGCTTATTTTATTCTTTATTTAAAAAAACAAAAACAAAAAATGATGAGAAGACAAGGGGGGAAAAAAAACAGATTTGTTTGTTTTCTTATTTTTGTATACGTTTTCTATTTCCTTTGTACCTACACTTGCAATAGATTCTTTTCATGTTCAACAAAATTATTTGAACCCGAATCTAACTCGTTATTGTTTAGATTTAAAAATAAAACACTGTTTTTAAGGGTGTTTACAACTTATATATTTATAATATTTAAAATATTTAAAGCCGCAGAAACCTTCAAACCAATATTTTCATTCCTAAATAGATATGTTCAAACTGGTTACAAGTTGATTTGAAAAAGGAAAGTCATCTTTTTCACAGTTAAATTATTAAAATCAGTTTTAACAGAAGAGTGACTCTAATGTAAGCTGTTCTTGCTGAGCTGTTCATCCATGAAGTATATCTTAATTCCACAGAAATAGATTTGCTTACTAATAGTGCAGCTGAAACATGCAGCTGCTTACTATTTTTGGCACAATAGGCAACAGCAAAAATGTCAAAAAAGAGATGTCACAAAATGGCCTTTTTGTATAAAATTTACCTGTTATACCACTAGATCACTACCACTAGAAGAGTTAATTGTTAAGAATAATGTGGAATAATACATTGTAAATCTTTATTTATTTATTTTTTTAATACAGAAAGACCCTCATCATGCACTAAAGGAATTAGCTCGCATCTGTATCATGGCTGACTGCACTCTTATCTTGGCTTGGAGGTAAAATTACCAAATGACACACATCAGTGTTCAGTGAAACTATTTCTGTTAACTTGTGAAGTAGAAGAAACACCTATAACAGTTAAAGTTTGTAAAGATAGTATAAACCTCTACGTTTTTACATTACCTAATAATAACAGCTAAAAATACTGTAAGTCTTAAGCCGCATTTAAACTGCATTTTTTTAATCTTCTGTTTTAGCTTATTCCACTTCTTCTTTTTGTGTTTTCTTGAAAAATAAATTGGTAGTCCAGAAGAAGCAGGGCGTTACCTTGAAACATACAAGTCATATGAGAAGAAGCCAGCAGACCTTCTGAAGGAGCAAGTAGAAAAAAACTATCTTTCAAAGGCATGTATGAAGAATTGTATTCTCTAAGAAATTTATTTTTTTTTCTTGCTCTTATCTTACAAATACGCTAAACTTTTTTATATAAATAAGACGATCTAAAATGCTGAAAAACAGCTGATTTGACTGAATTGATTCATCTTGTGTTTATTTGTGTAGGTTACAGATTGCCTGACAACTGTGAAATCTGTAAACAAAACTGATGCCATAACCTTGCTATCCACATTCTCTGTGAGTATTTCTACACAAAAGATATAAAGTTGGCTTGACCAAAGCTCTTTTCAGAATCATCTATAATACTTCTTTAACAGGAGTAGTAAATGAATAAAGTAACTAAGTTTTTATTTATACAAGCTAATTAAAATATCAAGTTTTTTCATGTTTAAACTTTGAAATCTGCAAAGTACTAGGTAGTGTGTCACAAAATACCTTTCAGTTGTTGCCAGATAAGGTCAAGAAATGAAAACTATTGGGGAAATGTTTCATAAAGCATATTGATTCTACCATATCAGTATTTTAGCATATTAGCTCTCAGACTGAACCATTCAATTCAGTTGGATAGAATAATGCAGGCAGTATACAGATAACATACTTTTATACCTTTGCAGTCGGTAAAAGGAATCATTGATGCCTCTAAAGAAGACTTGGTTCTCTGTCCAGGCTTGGGACCACAAAAGGTGAAGAATATCTGTTAAGAAAGGCTTATCATGAACATGTTGAACTTTTATTAAAGATTGCTAATTTACAATGTTAACGTTTTGTGTTGACAGGCGAGACGACTTTATGACGTCCTCCATAAGCCTTTTCTGAAGTCAAAGACTGGCAACAGCTGAGATGTCAACCAACAATGTGGTTCAGAAGAGAATAGAATACGAGTAGAATAGAATAGCCTCGTACATAAAGTTTGTGTTGTATGAATAAAAAACACAGTTTAAAGTACTTATCTATGAGCACAAATGTTTTCTAAAGGTATTGCGTTACTTTGAGAATTTCCCATTGGGTTTGTGCACTACTGAAGCTGAGGATCATTTTAACTTGTACTTTCTGTATTTTGGGGATTTTTCTTTTTTTGGAATAATAAAAAAATATATTTTTGTACACTTGGTGTGATAATCATCCATTTTAAGTTACAGTACTATGAAACATTTAAAAAATTTTTTGTTGACATTTTTTTTGTTACATTTAAATATTTTAGATCATCTTAATAAAAGTTTCCTTAGAAGAAGCAGAGCAAGCGCAGACTATTATAGTATTACCAGCTTGTTTAATTTTTTTTGTATAATTTTTCTGAAATTCCCTTTAAATCTACAGTGTGTAATAATTACAGGGATATACAGTCAGAAATGTAATATATTATACATAACTTTGTTATTTATTATCATCTACGAGCTCAGCCTCTTAACCTTAATATTTGCGTTGCCTTAGAATTCGTTATTTATAATTACATAGGAGCGGGTCTCGCAGCCATGGAGGCAGACATCTTTGCACTACGGCAGCGCAGAGCCAACAAACTAGTTATTGCGAGATCGCCAAAACGTCACAACGATGTAGAAAAAATAACGGGTATATTTATTATCTTAAGTCTACATGAAATCTATACCCTACACAGACTAATGAAATACTATCTGTAAAATTATCTATGTAAACAAACCTCATCACTTGAGAAGGTAGGTGATGCGGACGTCGTGGAAGACATTTTGTCCCGTAACGCTCGCCGTACTGTTGGGGGGGAGAAGCGGTGGGGGGGAGATGTTCATGTTGCTGCAGTCTGACCGCTAGATGTCGCTAAAAGTTACACACTGTAGCTTTAATGCAAAAATCAACATTCAGTGTTTGTCACTTTAGAACGTAACCAGGAATGCAATACTAGACCGCTCTCTTTTTGGGACTGCATGGATCATTGCTTGTGTCGCTCAGAGTAGTTCTGCTGGAACAGTGAGGTCTTATAAGATCCAATACTGTGCATGTGGAAAGTAACATTGAATCAAAAAGTTGATTAAGCCATAACAAAGGGGCAATACCTTTTTCCACGTACACCCTGGTTTGTTGTGATAGCCTTTTTTACATTAAAAATCTGAATAACAAAAATCTAATTTCCCTTAAAGACACATTTTATGGAAGAGGAATAGAGCCACTGAAAAAAATAACTCATTTTTAAATATTTATTCAGTATAATATGAGAATAAAAGTCAGAATTCTGACTTTTTTTCCCCTCAGAATTCTGACTTTAATCTCAGAATTTTGGATCGTAATGTAGATGGGCATCATGAAGGAAGATGTGAGATGTTTGGGAGGAAAATTACAGAATTAGGCGACTTTTTACGTCATGCTATTTAATTAATGGAAGGACAGAGGGTGATTAAAACAAAATAGCTAGTTTAGTCATTAAAACAGACCTGGCAACGGCTTAATGCTGACATGTTTGTTGCCAGAATTCAGTCAAAATTCTGAGGTTAAAGTCAGAATTGTGACTTTTTCTCATATGATACTGACATAAAATTTAGAAATCAGTTGTTTTTTTTCAGTGGCCCTAATCCTCTTCCTTACACATTTAATTTTACATGTCTGTTGAATACTTTAATCTGTTGGAGCTGAAGATGCGTTTAAGTTAAATGTATCCCTCCGTAGGCTACATTTTGGATTACAAAAGCGAGTTGTTGAGAGCTGAACCTTTCAGTTGTTTCATTTGAAATGTATCCGAGAAGTATTATCGCTTCTACAACAGAAATATATTTTACCCTATTTGTGTTTCAATAAAAGCGGACGGTCTTATCCATTTGATTGTATCAAATTATCTTTAAATCCAAGAGTACCGAAATTTCCGACAACCGTGAATGCGCTTTGGTCAAAGCGTCACAAACAGGAAGTGGTCAACGTACGCTGAATAAGTTTTACCGCTTTTTGCGCAACGAACTGAAGTTGCCTTGGCTGGTACAAAGCCGGCTGGTGCTTTTCTCGAAGTTAAGTCGGATTTTTTTTTTTTTTTTAATAAAAAGTAAAATTCAGGTATGTCCAAACTTCGTGTGTAGAATATGCAGAAAGAGGAAGGAGAGGATGAGGATGCTGCTCCTCAGGAATATGTCGCCCTGTGTGATTTCACTGCCAGCGGCTCTGAGCAGGTTATTTTCCTCTCTCAGTTAAAGCTGTAGTAAGGCTAAGTAACAAAACTGACAGAAACCATTTGACCGTTTATTGTCTGACAGCTTAGTTTCTGCACAGGGGACGCCCTGCTGGTTCACTCCAAGCCTTCAGCAGATTGGTGGTGGGCAGAGCTGCAGGGGGAGATCGGATATGTTCCTGCCAACTACCTGCGCCAGGATACTGCTGGAGGGGAAGACACGTCCTTAGAGGATCCCTGGCAGGATGACGAATACTTCGGCAGTTATGGGACACTGGTTAGTAGAAAGAAAAAAAAAAACTAGTTTTCTATGTGTCAGTGTCTCTTTGCTATTTTTGATACACGTTTCTATTGGTTTGTTGCATTTTAATCATAATAACGATAGAACTTTATTGATCTCACATTGGAGAAATTTACCTCTGCATTTAACCCATCACCAGTGTGGGGTTAAGCAATGGTGTAAATATCGGTAAGCAGAGACTGCAGTTGCTTAGCGGCCCCCGACCTCTTAGGGGCCCCATCATTGACACCTGATTGGCCCCTTATGCAGTTGTAAACTAGGATGTATCTTTGCAGATGTACTGTAATGGTGCGAAAATTCCTCTTAAACCCGCCTGATTGATTAGTTATTAGTTAGATTGATTGGCCAGCCCTTATTTATACCCCAAGACATGGCAGATTTCAACATGACGGTGAGCCGACGACACCAATAGCAAAGCAGACAGTGGTACTTTTAATTACTATGTTAATAACTGTGTATAGTTCATTAGACGGTTGGTTAAAAATACACTAATATATGTTTAGAACTGCAATAAAGATCTTAAAAGAATGATGTATTTGAATACTTTTTTTTTTACACTACGACTTGGAATTATGGGTAATCCAGAGCGTAGATTAAAACCATAACCGTTACGTATAATGTGTTAGCAATGATAGATAACAAAATGTGGTACTTAAGCGGATTCCAGAAAAGAAAAAGGAAAGAAGAGCTGCTGGAGGAACGGAAAAAACTAAGAAAAACCTAAATAAATACGTTCTTTCAAAGGACCGAAGAGGCAAAGGAGGACGTTGCTGCTGCAGTGAGTAAAGATTGCAACCAGGAGATGAATGGAGAGAGCATGGGTAAGGAGGGGAGCTGTGAAACTCAAGGAATCCCGATAAAACACTTTTACAGCAGAATATAGTAAAGTATCTCCATGTCTAGTGAAGGTAAAGAATAATGAAGTGTGTATGTATGGGGCATGTTTTGACCTGTCTACGGTGGCAGAGGATGGGGTGTTGTACTTCGTATGGGGCCCACCCAGATAATGTTGCTTACGGGCCTATTGTTGTGTCGTTACGCCATTTGGGTTAAGGGTCTTGCTCAGGGACCCAGAGTGGCAGTCTGTGGGAGTGTGGGGCTCGAACTCAGAAGCTCTGGATTCTAAGCTCTATGCCCTAACCCTTAGGCCGCCTCCCCCTATCAACCATGCATACTCAATGTAGAGTCTGTGTTTAATCTTGTTTATCTTTTTTGTTGTTTATTTAAGCTGCTTACACTACAATAATGCTCAACCAGCACGTTTTTTGCATTTAGAACATATAGGGTTCCATTTTAATGTTGCTCCACAACCCAAGTCAGCTGCGTTGAGGACTAAGGCCTCCGTACATGGGTTTTGCGTGCTAACCACTGCGCCACCTCCATGTCCACCCCTTTAATCTTGTTAGATTTTGCACATTATAAATTTGTTTTCATTAAGGGCATATGGCATTTTGTTTTCCTTTGTTTCAACACAAAACATTTTATAACTGGCACATGTTTGTAGATACCCCTCGTCGTTCTCTCATGGGGGGCTAATACCTGAATGCAGTGGTCATAGAGCAGAAGGCCAAAAAAGTTCTCCTACAGCCTGGGATTAGGTCAAAACTCAAGACACAAGACTTGCATTAATGATTACTTTTAGGTAATCAATGGATCCTAAATATAGCCTTAGTTACAACAGGCTAAAGTCTAAGAGGGAGTCACGAATGTTCCTAATCAAATAGTTATTCTGCAAAGAAGAATATAGCAAATGTTCTGTGTTTAGTTATTGAAAACCAGACTCTAACAAGACTTTGACTTATAAAAGGGGATTCCAGTATTTAGTCAGGGCTGATTAGAAAATAAGTTGTTTTTTTAAACCAAATTTGGGATTGCGAGTTTATTTAAATGTTCCTTTTCACTGACCAAAAGCACATAGATCTTTTATTGCTTTCATGACATTCAAGGCTTGCTTGTCCAGAGCTCGTCTTTGCAGGGCTGTACTGTTACAATTGCATGGAAAAGTGCTTACTTCTACTTGCATGTCAGAGCTTTTATATAAAGATGTTTTAAAACCATTTTTTTGTCTTATTTCTGCTCTATTTCACAATTATGTTTTATTTCTCAGACTTTATGGCTGGAACATAATAAAATATAAACAGCTGTTCCTCAAGTTTGATAATTTGGTAAGGCACAGAATATTCAGCTCCACAAACTTCCATAATTAATCAGATATGACACGAGTTTATAGTCATGAGTACCTTATACAAACTCTAATGATTTGCTTCAATATTAAAGTGCTTCAGCAGCCATTTTATGGGGATTTAAAGTGACATGAAAGGAGAAAGAGGACAAACCTTCACTGCAGATGTTACTACTCTGTAATGCAACACTGTCATTAAGGAAATTAGAAGTATGCCACAACTAGAATGCACATGAAAGTAAAGGCTCATTTACAAATTCAGACAATGAAAAGCCAAACAATGAAATCAGCGTTTGACAAGATGATCTTGCCGACAGTTTTGTGCAGAATTTCTCCCCGTTATATCAGTCCTTTGGTTGTGCACATTTCCGTGCACCTTTCCATTTGTGGAAATAAAGACTACGATTAAATCAATGGCTATTTTGCACTTTTACAGCTCACAACAGAGCACATAAGATTAAATTCCACCTTGACTGAAGAAAGTTGTTGAATAAACTTGAGAAGGACATGGCATAAAGACAAGTACTTTATTACAAACCTGTCTCCTTCCTTAGAGCAATGAACAAGCACCATGGATTTATCAATGCACACTGCTGTTAGGATGCTTATACTTCAGACCCATGATCAGGGTTGTGGATTCTAATTTGCACAAACTTCAGTCAGATAAAGGATCAATGAGCCAAACTGACTAGATTAGCATACTTGATAAAACATCCTCTCTACTCTCCTGTCTTCTCTGCTGCTAAGAGGGAGCATGCATGGAATCACAGATGCACATGATTCAGATCACAGATAGTAACATTTGTAAACCCCTTAATGTAATGTTGCACAGAGGCTTCACCTGGAGATGCTGTCGGACAGGAGCCGCACAGAGACGTACCGACAGGTTATTATCAGGAACAGCTCTTCACTGAGGAACAAGGTGGTTATGGACCTCGGCTGTGGGACCGGCATCATCAGCTTGTTCTGTGCTCAGCTGGCACAGCCCTCACTGGTAAATTTGGCTTAGTTGGACATTTTCTGTTTATTTTGGTTTATTTTAATACAATGTTTTTTTTTTTTCACCTTTAGAAGGGCACTTATTAACTAAAAATAACCAAGAATATATTTTTTTTCTCTTATAATAAAAACATGTTCTAGCTTATTTTTCCTGCTGCTTTTCAGATCTAAAAACTTAGATTTTTGTGTGTCAGTTCGTGTGTTCTTGGTAATGGTTTCCTTAACCCAGCATTCTGTAAAGTTTTCCATTTTGTCTCATTTGAACGGGGCACTTTCTATTGCCGCCTCATGGCTTGTGGCAAACTACTTTGATTAATACTCCTAGCAGGCCAGTCATTTTCAGTGGATGGCCATGTCCTGGTAGGTTTACAGTCTACTTTCCTCTTTCCATTTTATGATCATAGACTGAAGAGTTTTCTGTGGGATGATAAAAGCTTGAGATATTGTTTTGTTTAACCCTAGATTAAGGTTTCCCTTAATTGACCTGCATGCTATTTTCCTGGTTCTTTATGCTCTCTTATAAACCTCTACGGGTTTCCCAGTTGGCGGCTGTATTTCTACATATATAACAGTACACCATGGTGAACTCCTTGTATTAATTATGTGAGATCGGAAGGGGTGACTGGTTTGAATTTAGGGGCACAAAATTAGAGAGTGCTCAAAAATAAGTAAGTACTTTGATTTTACTAACTTTAAAACTGTGCAAAATCTGTATTAATGTACAGTTATAGACTGCTTTATGTTGATCTAGCACAAATCCTAATAAAGTCTGTTTCATTTAGTGGTTGTGACATGACACTGTAGATGTTATATGTGCTCCATGTTACTTATTAGTCTATGCATACCTCCATCTGTTGGGTGAGCAGGGTTACTGCTGTGAAAACAGCTACTTGTCAATGCTGCTCTAATTGATTGTGGCCTGTAGGTGTATGCTGTAGAGGCCAGCTCCATGGCGGAGCACACCAGGCAGCTGGTGAAGCAGAACGGCTATGAAGAGGTGGTCACTGTCCTGCAAGGTCGAGTGGAGGAGCTTGAGCTGCCAGAGCAGGTGGACATCCTGGTGTCTGAATGGATGGGCAACTGCCTGCTGGTAATCATTAAACTTTCAATACTATGAGCTTTACGTTTTTCTCAACATACGCTCAATATCCTTAGTTCTAAAGGTCCAGTGTCTTGCACCTTTTTAGATGCGTCTCTGCTTCAACACATCTATAATAACACATCTAGAATAATAAGGTCAGTAAGATGACTCCGGAGAACTTGACTGTATACTGGGGAGGTAATTCCGTCATTTGATTTAGCTGTATTGAAGCAGAAACACATCAAAAAGGTGCAGGACACTGACCCTCAATGACTGTAATTGAAGGACGCTGACATATGTAGATGATGATACATAGACATTGACGCTGTGGGCCTCAATAGTCTGCTGCAGCACGTGACTGATCTGCTTACTTTTCAATAAATAAAGGGCAGTAAAATGCTGCTAATTTTCCCTATATATTTATAAACAGGCCTTTCATAGCTCGAAAAGAATAAGCCCAGCCAATTAGCATTTTTTTTTCAAATCACTTAACATCTGCCCCTGCCCCTATCATAAGCACAGTTACATTTTTTCCAAATAACAATCAGATCCAGCACAGTTTAATTGTGCTGGCAGCCTTCACAGCCTTTCTGCGGGGTTTAAGTTAGGGCGAGGAAATTTGGGCTGCTATGTGTCTTCTTCTCTTTTTCCAAAGAAGGACAAACATGCCAATTGAGTGAATTACCAATCATCTCCTTTATTTAACTGGATTGCATAGTTGAATACTTTTTTCCTGCAACACTCTAGAAATACAAGATTGATAAAGTTCTTTGACGATGGCGCACTGGTTAGCGCGCATGACCCATGTACGGAGGCCTTAGTCCTCGATGCGGGTGACCCGGGTTTGAATCCGACCTGTGGTCCTTTGCCGCATGTCTCTCCCCCTCTCTCTCATACCCCCCTTCCTCGCAGCCTACTGTTAGAAAAACTAAACACTTGTGCCATACAAACAAAAAAATTCTTTGACAGTGCTGTATTAGCTTTGTATTCTACAGGCCTTTTCCCTGGTTTCAGACTTTATTTTAGCTCCTCATAGGATTTGAAAATCTATTTTTTTTTTCTTTTTTTCTTCCTGATGTAGTTTGAGTTCATGGTGGAGTCAGTTCTCTTGGCCCGGGATCGCTGGCTAAAGGATGGCGGTGTGATGTGGCCTTCCTCAGCAGCTTTAACCCTGGTTCCATGTCAAGCTGACAGCTACTACTCAGAGAAAATGGCCTTCTGGGAGCGGCCATACGGCTTGGACTTTACCCCGCTACAGTAAGAGCCTCTGGTTAGGTGTAGTAGCTGGAAATTGTCCTTTTCTCCACTTTTATTTCTGTTTACTTCTCATTTGCAGAGCTTTAACTTAAATGTGTAGTCTTTACTTTAATGTTTGATATATACCCCTGATCAGAATCTTAAGACAAGTGAAACGATACTAAAATTTGTTTTTTTGTGCAATCAGATCTTAAAGATTCCAAGTTGGTGGTCTGAAGCTTAACACCATGAGGATCAACTCTTGCCCTACATACCTGAAGGAAAAAACTGCCATACATTCAATTGATATACAGAATGAGTCTGCATCAGAAACAGTAGCACATTATTTCTTTTTATATATTTATAAAATATGTTTCAAGTTAAAGCTGTGAAAAATGCAGATATATAGAGATACATACTCTCCCAAAATATATGTATATAAAAAAACATTGTGGAAACTGTGCATTATAGTTTTAATAGGTATCCCTAGTAATATAAAGATGCTGTCAGTTGTGTCTAACAGCTCAAGTTTTCTGTTATTGTATTACAGCCAGTTTCTGACCTTTAATGCTGAAGGTTATAAACTAATTTTAAAAAAAGGAGGTTCATGTGACTCATAACTTCGAAGCACCAACCCGCAGTTTGTACGACTGCAGATGACTCCTGCCTCTCACATCACAGTCGCACAATTTATATTACCGTCCAGCAGTGGCGGCCGGCCCATAGAGGGCGCTGGGGCACCGCCCTCCCTGATAAGAAGAGAGAAACGTAAAATATATTTTTAGAAATTAACTCATAAATGTCAGTTTTACTCTCTAGAGTGTGTACCTATGAGCAAAACAAATTGTATAAACTACATTTCCCTATCTACTGTCATTCATTTGTGGATATCCACAGACAGACTCCTACCGTCTCTGTCTTGGGGCTGTGATCGGACAGTCCCACATTTGCAGAGAATCTGTCAATCATGTACTATTGCTAGGTGAATTTAATAATTGAATGGCCAATCAGCGTCTCAGAATTTTATGGTTTGGGGCTCTGAAAATACTGCGCTTTGACAGGCTTCTGCACCCAAGCAGGTGCAGACAATTAGTGGGATGATGGCGAACGTAACGAGCGAGATGCAGCTTCCACCAAATTCGGTGAGATCCTTATTTATCTACTCGTTTGCCAGAAGAACATCCCTGTTGTAGGGTATGAAAATTTCATGTCATGGTTATTGTGACTGTGACGAATCCACCTCGTCACTTAAAATAACCTCTTAACTTTGCGTGCCACACACACATTCCTGTTATACTGTGTTTGTGAGGACCAATATACACTCGCGCTGAGCCCAGTAGCGCCATTAACTTAAAACACACAAGCTGTCCTGGTTACCTGCTGGCGTATTGAGGGTGCACACTTAATATTCCAGTGGGGTTAGCCGCGTGTGTGTGTGTGTGTACGTGTTTATGCTATGGGGACTTGTCATCTTCAGTCTGGCAGCGTCTTTGCTGGGTTCAAACCCAGTTTGGTGTAATTGAATAAGTCAATGAATCTGTGTAAAGGAATTAAGTTGTAAAAATTATTTGTTTTTGTATATCAATTGTTTGTGGAGGTTTTATATGGACAAAACTGATTTATGAGAAGAAATCAGAAATAAGAGAGCCGGAGGTGAGGGGCTTAAACTATTTAATGAGGGCTGTGGGAAGAAGAGCGGCCATTTCTGTTTTCTGTGTCTTTGTTACATTGCTGGTAACTGGAGGGAGGCTGAGGCCCAGAGTATCTTGTATATGTTTAATTTCTTTTGCACCCTGTTTTGAGTTTTTGAGCACAATAAATCACCAACACCGGTAACCCGACTGAGCCTGGATTCTTGGAGGCCAAAGAACCCCGTCACAGTGACCAAAATCATCACTGTTACTGTTATTATATAGTAAATTAAATCATTACTGTTAAATTGTATTTCATTTCCAATTGTTTATTTGAATTCTTATTCTGGATTAGTTGGAGACATACACTAGGCTATATCAGCCCCACCAAAAATATTTTTCACCAGCCGCCACTGCCGTCCTGTGATATATATCAATGGTCAAGCTTTGCAGAGCTCTTCTATGACCTCATGTAGAGTCATTCTGATTTTTTTTTCTGAGATTCTGGAGTTAAAGTAACCAAAAAGTGTAGTGATAGACTCCTAAAAGATTTTCCCCAGGGCTGGACCTTAGGATGTGATTGGCTGAAATGTATTTCTTTTTTCTTTTTCAAAATTTAAAACTCTTATTCAGCGTCATTTCTTACCTGAATGTTTCATGTGACACAGTGAAAGGGGGCCTCATAAACAAATTAGGCTTTTGACCTACAGAATACAATTCAATTAAACCTCTCACTTTAAAATAACAGAATTACTTGACAGAAGCTACCAACAAAAAGCTAAAATTTCTCTTGGCTTTTGCACCAGTTTCAAGGCTGTGCTGTTTTCATATTCTAGTAAACCGATTAGTCAGAAAAAGCCTAAAAATTTGAAGATTTTATCAACACTTCTGCTTTTTCGTCACATTCAATAAAATATATTTTGTTTTATCTTGATGTATATGACAAAAAAAACTACTGATATAAATAGACAAGTAAAACAAAAGAGAGAACACAAGCATGAATCAGCTAGAACAACCTGCACAGTCCCAGAAGAGGATTAGATTTTACAGAAAAGTGATAAAGTGCACAGTTATGACATTTAGCCTAATTTAAGTATTTGTCACTAGAGTTGTACATGCATAAACAATTATTTTTTTTCACCATCCATGGACGGCTGGTGTCCTGCAACCATAGGATGTATCTGTGGACCTAATCATGCACTGAACTACCTCCTCAAATACAATCAAATACAGTCTGAGTTTTGCTAATGATCAATTTCTATTTGGTTGTTTAAGATGCATGTAAAAGTTGCAGGAAACTGCAGTTCTACACATGTGCTGTAGATGGAGCTAAATATTAAAATAATGGGAAGAGGTCTTCAAAATTTGAAAACATGAAGCTCAGTTCTAAAATGTTTAAATCCTGGTGGGAATAATAAAAAAAAGTCTTCTAGTCAATAAAATCTTCTAGTAAATTTGGTCCCTTTTAGATGTTTTTTTCTCTTTTAATACAGCTTTTATTATTAATTTTTTATTTTTGTTTTATTTTTATGTATTTTTGAATGCTTTTCTTTTTTGTAGTACTTTGAGGTCTTTTTGATGAAAAGTGCAGTGTAAATTAAATGTATTATTATTATTAAAATGAACTGTTTGATAGTTTTGATATCAAAAAAATGTTTTACACTGATTATTTAAAACCATATACATAATTAAATTTTTTAAGTTTTACACAGAAACTGATTTTTACTTTTTTAAGTTTTTACAGAGTGACTTTGTTTCGGCTGAAAGAGTCGTCATCTTGCAATCCCATCCCAGCTTCCTCCTGTGACGTGTCTACGTGCCTCTAGACATTTGAGAGAGGGATTGGATGAATGTGGCTATAGTGTAAAAATCTTGACGGGGCAGTGTGACTAGATTATGATGATTGGCTTATTTCCCATCAGCAAAAAAAAAACTTTTCATCTAATAGGAAATAATATTCATTCTGGATAAACAGCTCCCGTACAAGTGGAAGAAGATGGATGGATAGATAGATAAACTGTGGTATGAATAAATTTGGACTTCCGTATACACACTAAAGTACAAATTTAATGGCACCCCAAGATAAAGATAAATAACAAATGTTATCATGTCTCTATCTGTTTATTCAGGACGTGTTTTCAGTCCCTGAAGAGAAGTAGGATCTGTAGAAAACTTGCACAGACCTGAATGTGGTTTTATTATCCTGTAGTTTATAAATACCAGATATAAAGTTATAACTTTATTGATATCCAAACCCATAATAGCACTGCTTTTATTGGTTGTAAAATAATTAAGATAGCCAGAAGAAAATATGTAACAGTGACGATTTCTCATTGAATACCAGTGAGGCTAAACTTTCCCTGTAAATTTCATAAAATTATTGGTAAAATATTAATTGCGAAACGTCATTAATATAGTCATTAAACTGCATTAAATATGCAATAAAATGCACCAGATTCCATGAGTGTGTTGTGCATTAATCAGCTGCTTATTCTGCTCTTGGACATGATCTACCCTCTGCTCTTGAGCAGCACAACGCTGCCTGTCAGTCTCTATGAGAAATTACTGTTGAGGTTTGCATTGAGGTAAGCAGCAAGAAAGAAGATGTCTGATTGGATATCACACCAAAAGGGAGGCTAAACCTTTAGAGGGTCTGTGAAGCAAGGGCTGGTGGTGAAACTGGTTGCTCAATGCTGTTTGGCAAGCATACGTAATTTTATGTGTTTCAACATTTGTTAATGTATTATATGAGGTTTGAATTTAATTAACATCACTGAGCTTCCCCTGTCTCAGAGAGCAGAAGCCACCACTTATGTTTAATAAATAATATATCGCAGAATAATTGACTAAATGATAATAATCGAGGGGTATCATGTGCAAAAAGATACAGCTTCTTCACCATTTGTGTTATTAAACTCCAGTGCTTTAAAAAGGATTAAAAGAGGCATTTAAAAATTAATAAAGTTGTCTGTAGGAGCAAGCCCATTCCCCCTTTGGGTTCCTCATTAAAGTTTTGTCCCCGCAGGCCTTTGGCACAGCAGGAGTTCTTCACCAAGCCAAAGTTTAGCCACGTCGTTGACCCCGAAGACTGCCTCTCTGCTCCCTGTGATGTCTTCCACCTCAATATGTACACTGTTCAAGTAACAGAGCTTGAGGTATCAAATGGATTTCTTTTATCTCATGCTGCTGCAGCTCTTATGCTTGGCTTTTAGTTCTAACAGAGGGAAGTTTCTTTTCTCAGGAAATGAAGGGGGAGTTTCACTTTTGTGTGACGAAACCTGGAATTTTCCATGGATTTACGGCCTGGTTCACTGTTCAGTTTGAAAGCTTGGAGACAGGAGGAGCAACAGTGGAGCTAAACACTGGACCAAACTCTGAGTAAAAATAATTAAAATGAAATCCCCACATACAGGAGCATCTCAAGGGAATAGATTACAGCTAAAAAGTCTACTTGTTTCAGTGATATGCAAAGCAATTTTTCCCCCTTCAGCCTGTATTTGGATTCACTTTTATGCACCAAATAAAGAATATAATCTTGCTTTAGGATAAACTTAAGGCAAGAGTCTCAAATGGTTTAGCAACATCCTCTCATCCAGATCCAAACATCCAAACACCTGGAAGAGCAACCACAGCCTTCATTTGAAATCTAATAGTGTTGATTATTCACCGCATCCCCAAGACTGGACAGCAGGGTGTCCAACTCTTGTCCTTAGGGGCTGGTGTCCTGCTGATTTGAGATGTGTCCTTGTTGGGACACAGCCTATTTAAACGACTAAATTACTTCCTTAACATGTCTTTAAATTATCCAAAAGACCTGATATCTAAAATATATAGGAAAACACCTGAGACCCAACTGTGCTGTAAAGTATCTTAATTAGACCATAGAATCCATTTCAGAGGCTCTTTACTTCCTTTGCCTGTTTTATTATTTCTTCCAAATGTGCTATATAAAAACTTGAAGATTTGCCGATTTATTTAATTATATGTTTTTTACCCATTGTGATTTTGTACAGATTTGCTACCAGCTTTTCGCAGCTTTCCCTCGACTAAATTTTCCATTAATCTGTTTTGAGCCAACCTGTAGAGGTTTATGACAGCTGTCAAAGCAGCAGTCTTCCTCATTATTTCTTAGGCCATAACATTTCTAAGTGTTCTTAAATGTTCTTTGTTGTTTTGAATTGTATTCTGAGAAATGCAGTGATAACTGGCTGTAAAACGTAAACATCCGTCACCAGAATTCAGGTCTTCACTATGCGTAATGACTTCACACTATATTTCAATTCACAGAGATCCAGGTATATTATAAATTGACAATTAATTCTCTAACTCCTCAGTCCAACCCACTGGAAGCAGACTTTGTTTATGCTGGACGAACCAATCCATGTGTACGCTGGGGACTCCATCCATGGTAACATCACTCTGTGCAGAAACCCAGTGTGGAGACGTCACATGACCGTTACCCTGCACTGGAACATCAACAGCAGCACAAACGACTGCCAGGCAAATATCTCAGTACAGGCCTTTGGTTCTAAATCTGTTTGTTATTTGATCCCATTTGTTTACTTCCTCTTTATGTCGTCAGGTTGGAACAAAAAGTTTCCCCATGTGGAGGTGACAATGGACCAGCTGTGAGAGTCAACAGTAAACCAGTCTGTCAGCTCTACAGTACGCCTGTGAGCTACTGCCTAACACTGAAGTAGTTACAACAAATGCGATGCCCAGAGGATAAACTGGCAGGACATTTGAGTCTGTCGAGATGAACCCACAACAAGTCACTCTGTAGGAGCAGAATGTAACAGAAGAAGAAACTGAGGAGTCACTAATGGAGCAATGGGGGTTTTATTGAAGGAGTAGCTGGGCTGAGCTTGGTGTTTAACACATTACTCTGTCAGATACAACAGAAGAAGAATGATTTTTATCACACTTATCAAGTCTTTTATAACTGTTTTGAAGGAAAACGAATCTATTTTTTCAATTATACTATACGGATGACAGAATTTCAAATAATTTGAAATCATTTATTTTTTATACATAAAGACAAAAAAGGATGTTTGTTCCATTAGCTTTTCATTCTAAAGCTTGAAAAAAAAAATTAGTTGTGGGCAGATGACTGACAAGAAGGTTAACCATTTGTCTAATAAGGAAAACACTTTTAAGATTTCCCATAATATCAATATCATTCCCAACACTCCCTTGTTGCTGTGCACTGCTGGTCAGGGGGTTTAAACTATGGTTATTTTGTCATACCTGAAGGACCCGTCAGTCTTTTTAAGTTATCACTGTTATAAAAAAAATATAGACAATAAACTATTGGCTAGATTTGCAAGATGTCTAAGATTCTACCACTACATTTACTAAGTGTTAGGCTTTCAAGCTGGTGTACATTTTTCAAATGATGACCTTTCAGCTAATTTGAATAAAACCATTGAAATTTATGTTAAATCCATTGTTTTATTTTATATATTTTTTATTTTTAAGATGTTTTAATATAGCAAGTATTCAGCAATTAGACAACAGTTTTACCTTACAAAAAAGACATAGGTTCTTGGTCCCAGTTACATGGAGGGGGGAAAGAATCAAACATTTCTGTATGCTTTGGGGGGGTTGTCCACAAAGGATATGTTTTGCACACTTGTTAAAATAGAAAACAACCCCTAAGTTTATTTCTAATTAATTGCAGCTGAAATTCCTGGGGGTTTTTTTTGTTGTTTTTTTCCTTTTCCTGCATGAACTTGTTAGGTTCCTAGGATTTTTTCTTAAGAAATCTGGTTTTAAATTTCCTGAAGTCTAGAGGTATTCTTCTTTTCCCTATTTTTCGATTTTTAAACCAGAAATGTTCCAAAGTCTTTATTAATTTATCTTTTCATTTCACTGTTTTTCTTTTGAAGATTCGCATTTATAGATCTGTCTGTCCTAAAAAAATCACCAACACTTCTGTTGCAGGAGTGATGCTCAGTGTAAGCAGCCTTATTTGGACCCCCAGTGGAAAGTAACCCAGACGACTTAAAAGGAAAAATAAAACACCCCAAAAATGTTACAAATACGTCTTTTTTTTTATCTTAAGCCTATTTTAAATGAGAATAATAAATACGCTGTATAGATTTCATTACTGTAATCCTTGTTTCATTTCAGCAAAAATAGGAATAGGAAACTAAAACCTTTTTTTTTTTTTAAGAGTATTTCTACCCACGGTTATCGTACCATAAGAGGCCTTATCGACCTATGCTGTTTCCAAATGGTTTCTAAAGCTCTACACATATGAGGTTGCAGATCAATAAACCTAACAGAAAAGAAGATGAAAGTGGGTCAGATACGCTTCAGGAACGTTTGTATTTCACTTTAATTCACTGACAACGTTGCTCTTCTAATAACATGTTCACTTCAACATCTGCAAGATTTCTGTCATGTTAATCATCATTCCCACAACAAAAAAAACAAAACTGACAAAAACAGCTTAAAAGCACATTTTCTAAAATAAAATACTGCTCATCAGGTAAATTTTTATTTAGGTGTTACTATCCCACTCACTTTTTTGTTTTCTCCTCTTTATCTGTAAACATTTTTTGTGAAATGCCATCAACTGACATCTCTGAGCTGTATCCCTTCCTGATGCATCTCAGTGTTAAACATTACTCTCAGTTTCTGTTTTTATTTTGGAGTGTGTGTTCATCTCCGGGGATAACTCCTGAGTAGGTAAGCTCTCTGGAGAAGGGGGCCTGGAGAGCGGAACAAACAGTGGAGGCTTGACCACCTCATATTTTACCCCCATTTTTTCCCTTTTCTGCCTCAAGTGGTTGTCACAGTGATTCACAAACGTTTCCAGCTTGACGAAGGTCTTGTTGCACACTTTGCAGTGATACGGCCGCTGGCCTTTTTTTAGCCGTATGTGAAGCCGGATGTATGATGAGCGGACAAACGTGCGGCAGCAGACGCCACACTTCAGATCCACCATGTTGCTTGGCATTTCCGTAGGCTGATTACCTAGAGACGCAGAGGTAGATGTGGGTCTGGCATCTCTGGAGGTCTCCTGGGTCTTGTGGGAGATCAGGTTTGTCATAGAGCGAAAGCCCCCGCCACACTTGAAGGGCCTGTCCTCAGCGTGGAGGCGAATGTGTGCCAGGAGCCCAGCCTTCTGGGTGAAAGCCTTGCTGCAGAACGTGCACTTAAAAGGCTTCTCCCCTGTGTGTAGCCGACGGTGGGTCTTCAGGTGTGACGCACGGCCAAAGTTCTTCCCACACTCAGGGCATTTGAATGGTTTTTCACCACTGTGGATTACCTTGTGAGCCATCAAGTGAGACGACTGATGGAAAAGCTTTCCACAAGTGTTGCATCTGAACTTCCTTTCCTTGTTGTGGGAGGTGAGATGAAGGCTGAGGTGGGCGGATGAGATGAAGGTTTTTTTGCATATGCTGCAGCTGTGAGGGTCCAGTCGAATGTGTCGCTGGGCCCGCCGGCCGTTAGGGGGGCCACTGCTGCTTCCAGCTTCACAGGATGGACATTTGGATGAAGCATTTGTGTTTTCTATCTGCTTCTGTTTAGCTGAGATGGATTCCGCCTGGGAGTCCAGCTGTGGTGGGCTGTAACTGCATCCACAGTCTGAACAGAGCCTGGAGGACTCCTGCTGGCCATCGGTTTTATCCAACATGCTGATATTTACAAGGAGGAGATTATAACCTATAATGTAACACAAAGAAATATGCAGCTTTATATTTATACATATATGTCAGGCATAGCATTAAAAGCACTAACAAAAGGATAATCATCTCTTCATGACACTTAATCGGAAAACATATATGTTTATCAAAGTTGACTAATTAGAAGTAGGAAATACAAATGTTAAGAGTTGGGAGAGTTTGACCTGGCCAAAATGTAATGGTTTTACATGCATGATATACAGCTATATCCCAAATTATGCTACATTTGAACAATAAGGCCCTGAGAGCATGTTTTGGCCACTAGTGCAGGAAGATTTCTCTCATATTAGGCAGACAGCAAAAACTCTTCATTAAGTCCTCTTCTAAATTAACTGTTTTGGCTTCCCATCCCCAGAGGCTACAGACAGCTCTGCTCAGCTTATTTACCCTTATGACATAAGGGGAATGCTTTTCAAACAGACCATATTGAGCACACATTAGCTAAGAGGTGAAAGGTAATGACAGTTTTTTTGTTTGTTTGTTTTATGAACCTCACTGACAGACTTTAGGACACATGACTGTTAGAAAATGTTTATAATGTGATTATTGCATAATAGGGAACCTTTAAGAGATGTCCACAGTGCTCAGAATCTCAAAAGTTGTTTAGGAAATATAATCCATTATGAACTGATAGAACTGGTCAACTATTGTACATAATGTTTCTAAAAAAGTGAATTCTGCTACAGAATAAAAGATGTAGAATATTCAGGGCATCAGTTTGGTATACATATTTATTGCAGCATACCATGCCATATGTGAGGAAGTGTTGTGCCAGTGGTTGGAGATGTGCACTTGTGCTCTGAGAAGGTTGCAAGTACTCACTTCAATCCACAGTCTGCACTCTGGGTTCCTGGGCAAGACCCTTAACCCCACACTGCTCTCTGGGCGCCGCACAGTGGCAGCCCACTGCTCCCCCAAAGGGGATGAGTTAAATGCAGAGAGTCATTTTCCAGATTGTGTGACAATAAAGAGATTTTTTTTTTTTTTTTTTTACATTTTACATAACAGTCTAACGGCAAAACAAGACATCCCCTGCCATCAAGTCCAATTGGGTATGAACCTCAGAGGTCCAACTTTAATCGATTTTAAGTTTGTTTTCCATCTAATTGTTTTTTTAGATGTTGAACCCAGAACTCAAACCTGAAAGAACTTTATCCACTATAACTTTTATCTAGAGCAGTGGTAAATCAGCAGGGTCGGAATGAAGAAAATCATCAACCAGTTAAGGTTGATGATTTTAAAGTTACAGATCATTTTTAATGATGAAATAAAATGAGTTTTTTATGCATCAGTGTTATACATTGACTTTTTAAATAAAAAATAAAGTGTTTTTGAAGTAGAGAACAAAAATCTTTCCATTTGGTATATAGACAATTTCCTGATTCACTTATTTTTTTAAAACACCTGAACTGACTGTATTTTTTATTTTATTTTTTCTGGCTTAATGAGAGCAGTGGGCTTTAGGCTGCTTTAAACCTGGGTTTGGATGGTGACAAAGCTATTCTCAAATACATATCAAAGTGCTCATTCGCGAGCCTGGATCCATGTTTATTTTTGATTCTGTTCATGGCGGAGAATCCTGCTGCACAGCAGCAGGTTGAGCCAAACATACTCTAAATGTTCAGGATTCATGGGGGCACAGAAAAGCATGAAATAAAAACAGGGCAAGGGATTCTAATATATTAAGAGAGCTGCATGAAGTGAAATTTCTATTCAATTAGGTCTTATACAAATTCTATTTCTAATGAGGTCAATATACATTTATAATTTAGGAATTTAACTTTTTTTTTTTTACTTAAGTCAAAATTACCATTTTCTAAAAAATCTGAATTAGAACTAAAGAAAGACTGATAAATTCAGGTGTAAAAATTAAGAGTTTATTTTAAACTTGTTTAGAAAAAAAAACATTTAGCAGATGAAAAATGTTATCCTATCTCAATACCACTGAAGCTATCTCCCTACTGTTTTTAAATAATTAGTAAAACATAATTTCTAAAGAAAAAAAAATGAAATAGTTCCAAAGGACCTATCAGTAACCATGTCTATTCCAGCGCATATCATCATTAGAATTTCTTTTAAGTATTATTTCTTCAGTACAGCGGCCATAACAGGGGCCAGGACATGATTTACAGGGGCACTGGCCCCTGTCTAGAACCGCCCATGATGTGGGATTTCTGGGTAACAGGAGAAGCGGCACAAGTGATGTTTAGACACTGTTGTCAGACAACATGCGGTAATTTATAAATATTTTAAATCAGGTTGGGTCCGGATCCGGACTGAGGTCTGCTAATCCATGACCTCTGATCTAGATGGATATTTAAATATATGCATTTAATCAATTCAATTTATTTATATAGTTCACAACACATGTCATCTCAAGGCACTTTACAGTTCAACCAGATCATACAGTCAAATTGATTCAAAGTTTTCTAAGGAAAACCAGTTGATTGCATCGCCTTATTGACTCAAATGCAATCCCTCACACTAAGCATGCTTGTAGCGACAGTGGAGAGGAAAAACTCCCTTTTAACAGAAAGAAACCTCCAGCAGAACCAGGCTCAGTGTGTTTATTTGTTAGCAAAGGCTTTAGGAAAGTACAGTTTGTCTTTATTTGGAAAATATGGTTGTTGTGGTTCATTTTCCTGTTGGATCAGCATAGATTGACCCTAAGTTTCTGGTGCCGATCCGCTTTCGGCCACCATTGGTGATTCCCTGGCCACCCTTATAAAATGTTTCTGGCTACGCCCCTGCTTGGCTGATGATTCGTGTCTTTTAACCTGGGGAGCAGGCAGTAAGCTGTTATGCAAGCTGGCAGAGGCGGTCTAATACTTTGGTCAAAGGTTGTGTAATATGGATCTGGAGCTACAAACCAGAACACAACAGTCCTGCTAAGCAGACGTTCAGAAATCCATCAAATGCTGATTATTATAGATGGACCAACAGTGAGCGCCACTTTCACTCCACACTCTTTATCGCTTTATCTTTTAGTGGTTTATTTAATTGTAACGCGGGTCAAACATGCAGACAATCTCATGTATATCTAAAAAGCTCAGATCATCGCGCTGCGGCCTGCATCGCCCTGAACAATGAGGAGGATGTAGATCAACAAAGACTCCACATACCGTGTCCATTTCCCCCTCCTAATACATGGGAAGCTTATTGTTTGAAGTGTTTGTCCTCTGAGCTGCAGTTAAAATGTCACCAGCAAAAGAAAAGAAAACCTGGAGTTAATAAACATATTTCAGCGGGTGTTTGGTCGTTTTCATTTGCTTAAAAGAGGCGGCCCCGGTGCAGAAACTGGGCTGCAGCATCATCTAGCGAGCGGCGGATCAACTGGACAGACTGCTGCGGGTTTAAAGGCAACATCCAGGAAAACTAACAGTGCAGAAATTAGTGAGAAAAACCGACCAAATTCAGTTATTTTCTGTAGGTTTCGTTTAATGTGGAAATGGGAGGACATTTGACCTTTGTTACGATCATCTGTTAGTTTCGTTTCTGCTGAAATCTGATTTAAATCTCAGATAGAAGGAAACCAGGCAGGAAACGCCAGGTGAATGTGGAAGGGTAAAGATCAGCAGCCTGAACTTTTTCAACATCACTTGCTTTAAACTATCTGATTAAATCATGCACGGGCTGATTTAAGGTAAAATATTTGTTTTAAAATTATTATTTTTAACCTTTAATATATGGATTTGTAAATAATTACATGTTGCACATTATAGACAGATCATGTGCAAAAATGCCACATTAACATTATCTGATTACCCATCTAGTAATTATGAATTGATTGTGTAATCTTTATCTAAAAGGAGAACACATTTACTGTTATCAGGTTCTTAACCGTTGATATGGCAATCAGTGAAATACTTTAAAAATCAACATTTCAAACCAATAGTGTTATTGGAATCCAGGACAAGACCTTATTACCTTTGTAACATAAAAAATATGGATATTTTGATGGCAAAAATGAATGTCGATGTGATAACAAGAAACGTAAACTTGCCTGAATATATGAAGAAAAATAACAACAGCGCTTCTATAAGAAATTCATGAAAACAATCTGAGAGTTAAATAAACACATTTTTTGGTAAAACATAACATTAGAGGCGTTAATGCTGATACTGTCACTTACTTTTTTTAGTTTAAAAACCTAAATATAATAGTTAACTATGCTTATTAACTTTTTAATAACTTTTGATTTAGCTATATATTACAGTAGGTAATATATCATTTCCACAGGAGAGGAGCCTGATAACAAAAAGATCTGCCTCCCATTCTACTTTTAGTAATTCTAGGAACCCCTAATAAACCTGCAGATTGAGAGTGTAGTGCTCTGTTAGGAAGAAAAGGAACAATCATATCTCTGCTTTAAGATGGAGCTTTGCCATTTAAGGCTTTATATATGAGAAGGAAGATTTTAAAATCTATTCTGGATTTAACAGGAAGTCAATGAAGAGAAATTAGGATAGGAGAGATATGATCTCTCTTTTTAATTTTTCTATCATTTCAGACCTCTGGCTTCAGCATTTTGGATCAGCTGAAGGCTTTTAACTACAGCTTGTGGACTTCTTGATTGTAATGAATTACAATTGTCCAGCCTTGAAGTAACAAATGCATGGACTAGTTTCTCAGCATCAGCCCTGGACAGGATATTTCTAATTTTTGCAATATTCCGCAGATAAAAGAAGGAAATTCTAGAAACATCTTTGATATGGGATTTAAATGATAGGTCCTGATCAAAACTAATACCATGATTTTTTACTTTATTATCTGAGATTAATTTAATCCCATCCAAATGAAGGGAATGACTAATCAGCATATTTTTCAAAAACTCTGGTCCAAAGACCATAACTTCTGTTTTGCCTGGATTCAGAAGCAGAAAGTTAAGGGTCATCCAGGTTTTTATGTCTTCAAGACCTGCCTTTAATCTATGAAATGGTTTAGCTTCATCTGGATTTATAGACAGATACAGCTTAGTACCATCAGCATAACAGTGAAAATGAATCCCAGGCTGTCTAATAATTCTACCAATTGGGAGCATATATAAGGTAAAGAGAATTAGTGCTAGCACTGATCCCTGTGGTATTCCACAGGTAACCCATGAAGTATGAGGAAGATTTATCATTAACGTTAACAAACAAGGTAGATATGATTTAAACCAGTCTAGCATTGTTCCTTTAATTCCTACAAAACATTCAAATCTTTCTAAAAGAATATTATGATCAACTGTGTCAAATGCAGAACTGAGATCTAACAGGTCGAGCACAGATACAAGTCCATTTTCTGAGACCACGAGAATATCATTAATGACTTTTACCAGAGCTGTTGCTGTGCTATGATGAGCTCTAAAGCCAGACTGAAATTCTTCAAAAAGTTCATTATGGTGTAAGTTCTTCCACACTTTTTTGGAAACTACTTTCTCAAGAATTTTAGATAAGAAAGAAAGATTGGATATAGATCTATAATTGACCAATTCATCTGGGTCCAGGGATGGTTTCTTAAGTAAACCATCAAGGACCTTTTTTTCTCTTGAATATGATAAATAACCCTAAATATTCCCCCTAATTTTAGACCCCATACAACACCATATGGTCACCACTATCCAGTTCAAAACGATTTAAGAAAAGCATATGCTGATTATAAGCTGCTGCTTAAAATACATATTTTTCATTATAGGTTGCAATAGGAATAAATATAGTTTGTTCAAACTTTAACCATAATTCCAGGAGAGTTCTACACCTTGAGATGAGCTCAGTTAGTTTGATCAACCCTGTAGACTGTGGTTTTCAATCATTAGATCATAGCGGCTACACCGCCCCGCAGCGCCACCTACCGTTATTTAAACGAAGGGATTTTCATTTTCTCGGTAAGTTTCATTTCATGCCAAAACGACACCCCAGGAAGTGATTTTTTTTTTTTTTTTTTTTTTTTTTTTTTTTATTAAACGTCTTAACTTCCGAGTTTCGATTTTCCCGTTAGTGCTTTTGAATTTGTAAGAAATGAAAGTTATAGATAGAGGGAGTTAACAGAGGTTAGGGTGAGGCTTTATAAAGCAGGACTCTCGCAGCATCCTCTCAGTTTCCAAGGAGCTGATGGGATCCAGCGCTGATGTGACTCAGGTACATTTATTACTTCTTTATTACATGATTTAATTAAAGGAGGCCTAGTATGTACTCTGTAATATTTTTTACATGTTTATATCAGGGTTTTTTTCTACCTAAATTCTAATTGATTATTAACCACCGCTTTTAGTGTATTTGTGGTAAAAAAAAAAAAAAAAAATGGCATGGCATGAGAGCTATAAAAGTATCTATGAAAGCTGCGTCACTTAGGATACAGGAAATATTGGTTTTATTACTGGTCGTTTCCCTGCATCAAACGTTTGTGCAAAAAATATGAAAAACTTCACCTGCATTAATAAACAAATAACAACTCAATTTGAGTATTTTGTGATGAATTTAAATAATTCTGCAACATGTCTGCATGGGTCCGTGCATCTTTTGGTAATTGGGTTTTTGTTTTTTGTTTCCCGAAATGGAAAATGAAATTCAAATCATTTTTTCAAATGTTACTTTCCTCTTTTTGACAATTAAAAAGAGAAACGCTTTGAAATGTAATTCTCTCTTCTTCTTTTTTTTTCTTTTTTTTCCCGTTCCTGAAACGAAAGCTCAATGACCAAAAGAAAGACGGATCTAAATCCCGTTTCATGGTTAGGCTGGACCTCCAAAATAAATCTCCTTCTCAGGCAGACATGGAAAATTTTACTTTCATTGTATTTTCTTGGTATCTTAAATGACCAGCAGATGGCGCTGTGTGTTACTTGGACCATAAATCATCTTATCCCGCAATGTATTCTACGTTTCATAGTCAATAAAGGGGACATTTATAAATCGCATGGTTGAGTGGAATTTTATTTTTTATAGGGAAAATACTTTTTTCTATCAATCATTCAGGCATATATCTGGGGGGGAAAAAAGCTAAGAAAAACCTAAGCAGTTGTAGGAGTGAGTTGACAAATCAAATCCCTGCATTTCCATCCACTGGCCTAAAAAGTTTGAACCTGTACGACATGAGAAAATAATCTTATGTGATGAAATACTGATAGGAAATTATGCAAAGTCAATGTTAATGGACTGAACCTGCCGGTGTGATTCTGCTCTGGATGGAGGTCAGCTGTTTGTTGACCATCAGTGTTTGGCATTAATTTTGCCATATTTATTTTTCTTTGATTGTGTCGACCAGAGAAAACAGAATTCAGACCAAATTAAAGAGGAAAAAACAATCAATTTCATAGGCCTACATCTGAAAAGATAATAATAATAAAGAAGCATTCACTAAAAAACACTAAACATATTTAAAAGAAACCTATTTTGTAATGTGAAACGGCATAGGTTTATCTTGGCTGTTTTTTTTTTTCCAGATATATGCCTAAATAATGGACAGAAAAAAACATTTCCCCCCCCAAAAAAAGTTTAACACAAACACCTAGTTATTAATGTCCCATTTATTGACCATAAGGAACAAGGTCCTAAACTATATTTGCTGGATAGGTCGATGGATGGTTCCATTAACGCACTGCGCCACCTGCTGGTTAAAGTACCTGTCCTCATTGTGCCTCAGACTATATATATATATATATATATATATATATATATATATATATATATATATATATATATATATATATATATATATATATATATATACTATATATATATATATATATATATATATATACTATATGTACAAGACCTGCTTTGATTTCAAACAGACGCATAGGCTACGATGAGGGCAGGAAATACAACGAAAGGACGTTTTTCTATGCCTGCCTGAGCAGCAATTTTTTTTTGTTTCTGCTGGTGTCTTTTATAACCGGAAAACGTACAGATAAAAATGACCTTATCCGTTAATGACATTCAAGATCTTTTTCCATAACACTGTAAAAAAAACAAAACAAAAGGTCGTCTGTTTAATGTGTCATTCGCCTCATCGATAAGTAAATCAAAATTGGTTTCATTCTATTCCTAAACACATTATCTGTTCAAGATTAGTTTTGCAGAGTATTCTGATGTTAGCAAGTCTACCTTGAGAAGCTTCACCAATGGTTTTGTTGAAATTAACACAAAAGATTGTATGCTGCATTATCACATGTTGCAATATGCAATCTTTCTTACAGCAACCAACTCAAGAAGGATGAGTGGGAAGGCCAAAAGTAAAACCCGGTAAGCTGCCCCACCTCTTCCCCTTCCCATGTGAAGCAATTCAATTTACATAAGAAGGTTGTCTGTGATTTTGTAGATGAAAATATCTCCATACAGAAAATTGTCTCCAGAAGCACCACCACTATATGCTTCATAAGAAGAAATTGTCAGCTAGTTTTACAATTTATATTAAATTGTATTAAATATTTAAATACACCTTAAATCAAATAAAAAATTTGACTTTATTTGTTTGTTTTAATGGTTTAGTATAACTTAACACTGATTATGATTAGGTCTAATCCCACTAAGAAATCCACAAGTTAAAGAAGTAAATGTTGATAAAGCATATCAGGTGCCACAGATTGTAATTAATTTTTATTTTGATATTCTTAATTTTAGGAGGTCCTTTGGGGCCACCGCACCACCCTTCCTTGACTACCTAAAAGGTATTCTTCGTCGATATCCTGACGGTGGACAAATTTTGAAGGTTGGTATTATGTTTATATTAAGATTATAACAATGATGTTTCTTTTACCAGAACAAGCTACTAGGCCTAGGGAATCTAAGAAACCTGATATATATTACTAAAACAACTGTGCTTGTTTTAGGCTTTTATTTTACACCTAATAAGTTTTATCTGCTGTAGATAGCTTTTTAAGCCTACACCTTCAGTCATGTCACTTCACTTATCCTGTTGTTTTTCACATTTAATTGGCCCAATAGGAGGTACAGAATTATGATCTTATATAGTTTTGCATAGTAATATTATAGCTTTGTAGGGATTACATAGTGGAAAAGTAATTTTCCTGCATATCAGAGATGTTGGCAATAGAAGTCCCAAGTCAAAACATAGATCTAAAGTTTTGAAATCCTATTCTAGACTACTTCCAATAAAATAAGGCTTTCTAGTCTTGCTACATCACTGGGTGCTGTGTTTTAATAGTTTGTTTACTGATAACCTAATATAAGCTAAGGTAGATGTTTGATAAAGGTAGTATTAATTATTACAATTACTGTGTCGTGACGCCACCTGATTCCCAGGAGTTAATAGCCAATCAGCTTTCAGCCTCTGTTGGTTCGTGTTTTATGAATTCCTGTCTGATGGCGTGGGATATAGGACAACAAAAAATAAACTGGATTCAAGCAAAGTTACACTCAAAAAGCAAGCACATGTATGCAGAGTTAACGCATACACCTCCTTTACAAATATAATAATTTATCTGTGGGGAATGTATCTGGCCCTTTTCCAGGCTTCTGTGAAACATAAAGAGAGTGTAGAGCTGGCACACTCAATTCCACAATACCCTGTGCTGTCTGCACCACCTCTAAGTGCTTCCTCCTCTGTGCCATTCAGGTCCTGCTGAGACAGGGTTCTGTCCATCTTCTTCAATAAAAGTATGTTAGTATCTGAGGAGGAAGCCAAGAACGTTTTTGAATTCCAGAAACAGAGGAGCCATTGTTTGGCCTTCTTCACCCGGAGGGGAGGAGTTCTCATTGCAGAAGAAGTTTGAGGAGATGTATATGGCTAGGCATTTTATGCTGTCCACATGCTCCCCCAAACTCCCCCTGTATGCAAAGTAGAGCGTGTGCAGTCCTTCCTGATCTACTGTGATCTAATTTGTGGATTTACTAAAACCACCCCCCGTGGACATGGACAATATTTTTTTTTATATTTTTTTTTTATTTTCTATACTCTGAAAATCCCAGAGGGAAATTACTTCTCTGCATTTAACCCATCCCCTTGGGGAGCAGTGAGCTGCCATTGTGAGGCGCCCGGGGAGCAGTGTGGGGGTTAAGGGTCTTGCTCAGGGAGCCAGAGTGGCAGTCTGTGGAAGTGGGGGATCAAACTCACAACCTCAGGATTCAAAGCCCTATGCCCTAACCACTAGGCCGCCACTCCCCTACACGCACCTTAGTTTCGTTTTGTCTTCAATTTAATGTTTCGTTTAGCAATAACTCAGTGCAATATTTATTGATGTTACTTCTTCAATAACTCAGTGCAGTATATATGTATATACAGTATATACTTATTTACCCTGTATACAGCTAGCTCTTAGTTATAGAAAACATTTATTGTGCAGGAATAATGTCTTAGCTCTGTTACACTGGTAGCCAAGTAATCAACATTTCGTTGTCAAGATTCACCTTGTGTTTTTTGTGCTAAGTCTAAGTCATAAGATTATTGCTGGAACACACTGTGTCAGACACACCACAGCGGTGTCGCCAGCAAACATAATAAACATGCTTGTATTTTGAAAAGGGTAACGAGAGTAGGGCTGAAAACAGAACCCTGTGGTGTGCGAGTTAAGAGATGGAGAAGATGTGATCAATAATGCTCACATCTGCCCCACAGTAGTACTTCAACTTATAGTTCCAGTCCTTATACATTCTAACTAACAAAATTATATAGACAATTTTGTTAATATAACAATGATTCACTTTTTTTTTTTTTTTTGTTCGGCAAACCAGAGCATCTGGTTTGGGTCTATTTATTCCTTATTTACTATGGACGGTTGCCTGAAGATTGTTTCTATTGAGCTCACCGGGGTTTGAATCATTACTGATTTTATTTTGAAACAGGAACTGATCCAAAATGCTGATGATGCTCGAGCGACAGAGGTGATTTTCATTCACGATGAAAGGAGCTACGGCACTGAGGGTCTTTGGAATGACAATCTTGGACAACATCAAGGTAGAAAAGAAAGTTGATAAATATTTGGATATGATATTGTTACATGCAGGCAATCGCCCTTCTATTTTCCTCTACGGGCGAGTCCTAATAAGAGTGGTTCAGTGCTCCCTTGCCATTGGCTCCCCTATGATTACTACGGTGAGCTCATCCTAGGATCCCTGCTCTAAAAGCAGTTCATTGTGGTTACTCTAAAAGCTACTCTCCTCATTCACACAACTCCATTTTTCACTGCTTGATTTTGGTGAGTGGCTCTGGATGCTGCAAACCTTAGGTATGTGGTGGGAGCTATGTGGACTAGATATTTAGGGTACCCTGTACATTCCTGTCCATGGTGTTCACTAGTTTAGTGTTTTGTGCCACCCTCTGTATGCTTTGGTCACCATTTTTTTAGATAAGTTAGATGTGTTTTGTTTGACTTGTCAGTTTTTCTTTAAATGGTTAATCAGGAAGTGTTTTATTTTTATTTCATTTGTTTGGCACAACCATGTGTCCTTTCTTCCACCACAGGTTAAAGCAGCTAATATCTGTATTTCCAGACCAGTTAAATACGTAATTTCGATCATTTTAAATCATATTGTCTTAATTCACTTGTTGTTGTTGTGTTTAGATCCCCTTGGGGGTCGCAACAATATGTTGATGCAGATTTTAGCCCTAAGTAACATTGTTAGAAGTTGTCTGTTGCACTTGTCATCATGTTGTGGAAGCCATTTTGTACCATGCAAAGCTCTGCATTGTTGGAGGTGGAAAAGCGGTGGGGGGAGGGGTTCCTGTCACTGCAGTGTGCAGTCTGACCATTAGATGTCATTGAAAATTACACACTGTAGCTTTAAGTTTTAAGACAGAATTATTGCAGAGATACCAGATATTTTATGCATTCATTTGTTTGATTAATCCATTTGTGCAGGACCTGCTCTTTATGCCTACAACAATGCGGTGTTTACCGATGAAGACTGGGAAAGAATTCAAAAGGCTGGAAGAAGTGGAAAGATCAATGACCCTAACAAAATTGGAAGATTTGGAATTGGCTTCAACTCTGTTTATCACATAACAGGTGAAATAAATTAATCAGATTCATAACACACATTTACTTAATCATTTTTAGGAGATTACTTACAGAAGATTTATAAGGGTTCATTTTTCTATTGTATCAACAGATGTGCCAAGTATTTTCAGCTCCGGACATCTTGGATTGATGGATCCCCAAGAAGAAATATTTGGCGATAAGGGGTTTCTGTGGTTTTTGAATGACCCTGAAGACCAAGAATCTCTGATGACAATGCAAGACCAGTTTCAACCCTACAGAGACATTGTTTTGCTTGTTGGCAAACAAGAATGGTCAAAGATCATAGAGAATCAATACTTCCCTGGGACAATTTTCAGACTGCCATTACGCAACAAGGCGTCAGAGATTTCGGACAATCTGTATAATTCAGATAAGATGGTTGACCTTTTTGATAGCTTTATTGCAGATGCAGACCTAAGCCTCCTCTTTCTGAAAAGTGTGAACTCTGTGTCCTTGGTCCACATTAGTGAGGATGGAACCGTTAACACCAGGCTTGAAGTGAAATCCTCAGAACCAAAAGAAGTTGCTCTGAAGCAAGGAGATGAATCAGACACTGAAGGCTTGACAAGATTCAAGTTGGTAACTCTAAATTCAGAAGAGCAGAAAGAAACAAAATGGCTCCTAACAACATGCACAATGAAAAAGGATAAGGTACCAAACCTGGATGTTCTGGCCAAAAAGCTGAGTTTTTTACCTAGAGTTGACTTAGCATTCCCCCTTGACGAGCAGAGAGACGGTAGTCATGGCAGACTGAGCTGCTTTCTCCCTCTCCCAAACAATGAGTCCAACAAGACCGGTCTACCAGTTCATGTCAACGCCTGCTTTGGCCTCACAGACAACAGAAGGCACATCAAGTGGCAAGAAGAAGACCAGAAACATGACGAACATGCTTTATGGAATGAGTTGCTAGTAAAGGAGGTTCTACCACAAGCATATGTGCTACTTATTCAAGATGCCATTACGCTCTATCAACAATCATCTTTTCCTCTGTCTTCCGTGTACAACCTGTGGCCTGATGTTACTCAGATGCGACACAAAGACAAGTGGCTCAATGTTGCTGTGGATGTTTTTCATCACTTGCTCAACGAGGACATGGCTGTTCTCTCTCTAGCCAGAGATGAGACCCAGTTTATCCCTTTATCAGAAGCTGTGATACCCTGTAATGGTCCAACATCACTTGACACATTATTTGCCATTAAAAGGACTTTGGTTTCCTGTGGAGAAAATCTTGTGAGTCTACCGGCTAATGTACTCAGGGCCATTGAGGTCTATCCACACACCAATCCAAAACATGTGACGCCCAGCTTCCTCAGAAAGGTGCTTCATAGGTCCGGTGTTCATAATATCAATAAAGAAGACAAACTGTGTATTTTAGAGTACATATTGAGTGATGGAGAATACAAAGAACTGGAGGGTCTTCAGCTCCTTCCACTCAGTGATGGATCTTTCAAATCATTCACAAACAAAGAGGAGGACACTGCTTTAATTGACAACAAGGATTTCCCAAGGTAAGCCTATGGTATATCTAAAGTGTCTGTTGCTATATTTATCTTGCGCTTACTAACCATTTTGTCATAACAGACGTGATCTTTCCTTTCTTTCCTTTTATTTACTTAAAATTCTGGTGTGTACAAGTAAATAAAAGTATTTTGACCACAGTGGTACATATGTTTTTATACATTGATGTTTTAAAGTTAGACATTTTATTTGACATAATTTATTCATTTAGAAAAATTTTCTGCATTAGATAAATTGGATAATTGCTGTCGCTCCAATTGTTTCCTTCTGGTATAGCTTGGTACACCCTTCCCTCATTACACAGGTCTTCTATAAGATTTAATGTGGTTGGTCCTCTTCTATGCTTTTGTCCCTTCAGTTGGCATCAGATTTACTATAGGATTTATATCTATTAGACTGAGCTAAGCATGGAAGAAGCGTGAATATGGGTTGATTTTGTTATGTTCTGATTTAGTCTGTCCTAAGACCCAATGAAGGTCAATATTTGTGGCAAAGGGCAGGAGCTTGTTTTTGAATTAATTTCTAAAATTTAGAAATCTATGCACTTCAATAGAACTTAAATAACTTTTTACTTTTTAGATTGGGGAAACTTTGTGTTTTTTGTTGTGGTTTTAACATTTTTTGATATTGTTAGATAATTTGGGTCATTGATTTGTAGCTCTTTTGTAATATACTTAGGAAAATGAGCTTCGAGGAGCTGAAAGATATCAGTACTCCAAATACAGATTGCTTGCGCAAAAATTAAATGTTTCAGAAAAAACCCTAATTAAGCCTGGTTTGTGGTTACTATGACCTGGATGACTAAGTATTTGCATTTTAGATTTAGGTTCTATTAGGTTCTATTTAACTGATTTTTCTTTGTAATATGGGGCTCTATTCATAACCTGTCCATAACATAAATCAGGATTTTGTTTATTTATTTAATTTTCTACTGCTAAAATTAACTCCCGATTTGTGTGCAAGAAGGATTTTTATTTTTTCTCCCTCGATATTACTCTACTGGCTCCTTATGAGGCAGTTATGCTTTATTAAATAATTATGGGCCGATGTAGGTACCAGATCTGCTTGGGTGGTCAGATCTGCTCGGGCCCTGCGCATAACGGTGACGTTACGCTACATGATTGGTTGACTGTTGCCACATGATGTAAAACACTGTGATTGCCCAAACAACGATGATAACATCATGCAGTGTCGTGAGCATCTGTAATGTTAGCCGATGAGGTTTGACCTGATTGACAACAAAACTGAAAAAAATATTTTATGGTTAACAAAATAACTGCAAGACCATGATATAAAGGGGGAGAGCCATATTAGGCTACACTACTTTTTACTTGATTTCAAAAATCTGTTTATTTTCTACAAGTAGAATAACAGCTGTTTTCTTTGTCTAAAATTTCTACGAAACAAATTTTCAAGATGTTCCATTTATCCTCCCCTCTTAATAAAAAGAATGAAAATAAGCTGAGGCTTTTTTTTCACCTTGGTGAATGTCAGAGAAGGCAGTACATTCTTTCAAGACTGACAATGATTGTTTTCTACTTTCGGCTACTTTAGATCGCCAAGGAAATGTAAAATAATAGCAAATATAGGTTATGATATGTTGAGACTCCAAAAGAGATTTGATTCTTAAGAATCCGGTGCAATACAGTTTGTCCAAGTGGAGTTTCGATATGATTACGTCATAAGAAGGTACCGAGCAGATCTGATCACCCAAGCAGATCTGATACCTACACCCATAGATAATTATATATGTAGACGCCTCATTCGATGCTGACCAACATGTCTAGAGGGCAGCCATCTTGGATCGGACCACAGTTTAGACAGCTGCTGTCAGAATGATTAGCAGGCGCCTGAAATCTCCTGTTAATCACATTTAAAACGAGTCAGAGGTACTATTACAATAAAAAAAAAAACAATAAAGAAAATAAAAACAAATTTTAAACTTAACTTTCAATTAGAGTACATATATTTATTCAGCTTAAAAACTATTTAAACTGAACTCAAACTGTATATGTATATATATATATATATATATATATATATATATATATATATATATATATATATATATATATATATATATATATATATATATATATATATATATATTTTTTTTTTAGTAATAAACTGTTACAATCTCTTTGGTAAATGCTGTTTGGTGGCTTAATTTTCTGCAAACTCTGTAAACAACATAATATTACTCTCAGCTTATAAGTAATGTCAGTCCAAATGACAGAAGACCTGATGAACTGTAAAACCCCCATCTTAAGCACACTGTCATTAATGATGACAGTGTGCTCTACATTAAAAGTTACTGAGCTTTTTTTTTTTTAAAGCTCATCATCTCTTACAAAGACTTCAACAAGAAATTATTTTTATTTTCCAGTGGCAAATTTATGTTAAATCAGTATTGTTTTTGTTACTGTTTATATAATTGCATTACCTTTGGATTCAAATTATTTTGAAATATTACATGCATATAAAGCCCAACAAATAAATTGATCTTTTCTGCAGAATGCTGCTTCCCTACTGCAAAAACCTCTTCATGCGCCATGATCTCAGTTCAACCTGCACAGCCCACCTTAAAGAAGTGGCCAAAATAGGTATGTTAGTTTTACTTTTACTTAAATGTTATGCTTTTACAACTCCACACAAAAAACTTCCTGTTTTTGCAATAACTAGTTAACATTATTTTAATATCTATGTTTTTAAGGGATATTTAAAGTCATAAACGTGGATAAAAACCATGTTGTGCAATACACAAGAAAACATCTGCCGCAGGACTGGAAGCAAACGGAGAGAAGACTTGTTACTTGGGACACCAACAACAGCCACCATCCACCATTAGATTGGCTTCAGGAATTCTGGAGGTTTCTGAACTCTCACTTTAATGAGTTAACTTTTTTTAGGGATATACCTCTTATACCTGTCAGTCCCCTGTCTGGTAGTCAGTGTGTTTCACTGGCAAAACTACAACAGAAGACAACCCTAATTTTCCAGAAAAGAGGACAGAGCAGTTTACCAGACCAGTTAGCTCAGCTAGTGACCAAAGCTGGCGGCACAGTGGTGAGAGGGAATGACTGGCTAAAGCATGTAGACCTTGAAACTTATGTTCTGAGTCCATCTCCAATGAGTGTTATGAAGGTGTTGATGAATTTAGACTTTCAGCATGTCATCAGTAATGTAACATGTGCAACTAAAACAGCACGAGAGGAACTGAAAGACTGTTTGTCCCATCTAGATTCTCTCTCAGGTCCAGAGAAAGATTTTCTCATAAGGCTGCCTCTGTTTCAAACTACGACAGGTTCCTTGGTCACAGCTCAGTCAAAACAGGCTTTGGTTTTAACGACTGGTCCTGGTTTAGCCCCACAACTGCCTGTGCCAGATTCGGTTATTCAGTGTACTACTGAAGCTGATCGAAGACTTTTACAGCTGCTGAAGGTGAATCTCTTGGGTCCAGCTGAAGTAGGCATTATCCTTGTTGACAGGATAAAACAGGGCGCCTGCAATAGTCAAGATACAGAGAACATAATGACCTGGATATTGCAGCACGGGAATATCCTTTTCTCACAAAATCAGTCCCTGAAAAACAGATGCAAGGAACTAAGATTCATCCAAGGGAAAGGAGAGTTGAAAAGAGCTTCCGACTTTTTTGATCCAAGAGTGAAAAACTTTAAAGTCATCCTTGAGTCAGATTTTTTCCCCCCATCTGTATACACAGAAGCAACACAGATATTGGAAAGTCTGTTAGATCTTGGATTGATAAACAAAGAGGCAGATTTGACACCTGAGCATTTGTTATATGCCACCACAATTATTGAAAAAAAAAAAAGTGAACTCTGAGGGTGAGGCCCTTCAAAGAGCTCAGGTCCTCTTGGAAATCCTGGATGCTTGTGATCTACTGTCAAAGTTTTCAAATGCACAACTTAATACTCTTAAGAAGACTAAATGGTTCCCATGTGATCAACCCCTTATTGAAAGAAGAGACATCTTTAACAAATCTACACACATTTTCTACAGCCCAGAGGAAATAAGACACACTATGTATGAGGACATTGTTGGAGAGGTGATGCCTGTAATAGGGAAGCTCAGTAAGAGAGTTAACAACAAGCTTGGCTTAAAATCTCTGCCTCCACCTGAGAAAGTGATAAAAAACTTGTCAGTCCTAAAATTGAAAGTACAAGACATGGATGATCCTGATACCAACGTTGATTTCAAACGAAAGCTGCATAGCATTTACAGGCACATGCAAGAAAACATCTCTGCATTTGTAGAGTTAATGAACACTGAGACAGACTGGTTGTGGGCCCATGACAAATTTGTTTCCCCCTGTGAGCTGGTCCTTAAGTACCCTCAGGATCTGGATCTAAGCTCTTACATTGGGAAGGTGCCAAATGAATTTTTACCATACAATAAGCTGCTTCAGAAGTTTGGTCTGAGAATATCACTTTCAAATAAAGACATTGTCAGGTTGCTTCATTCCATCCAGCAAAACATTGAAGCAAGACAACAGCCATTTGCAAGTCCAGCTGAGGTGAAAGTGTCCATAGAGATTCTCAACTGGTTATGGAAAACAAAGCAAACTGTCCAGGATGATATCCCTGTCCCAGTAATTACAGAGGATGAACAGTTCACCCTTAAACCACAATCAGAAGCACTTCTATGTGACGTAAGCAGACATAAACTGAAAGAGCTTCAGTACCACGAGGGGAAAATGTATATACTACACGAAGAAATCCCAATAGCAGCAGCTGAATGGATGAACATTAGATTTCTCAGTAACTACATCCTTGCTCCAGAGCTTATAGGTATTGAGCAATGTGGACAATCTGAGCCAATAACTACAAGGATAAAAAACATCCTTAAAGAGTATGATGAAGATGGTGACATCTTTAAGGAGCTCATCCAGAATGCAGAGGATGCTGGAGCTGATGCCTGTAAATTTCTGGTGGATTTCAGAGAACACAAAGATCCTCCAGAAAGTCTTATTGATCCTGACATGGCCCTTTGTCAGGGTCCATGTCTTTGGGCCTTCAATAACAAGCAATTCACAGAGGAGGATTGGACAAATATTGTCAGAGTTGGTTCAGCCTCAAAGGAAAGCAAAGCTGAAAAGATTGGAAAGTTTGGACTTGGATTCAATACAGTTTATCATGTGACAGATGTTCCCTCAATCCTGAGTGGAAGCAAACTTCTTATACTTGATCCAAATGTGACTCACCTGAGAAAGCACATCAAGCAGAAGATAAACCCTGGGATCAAACTGGACATCTCTCAAAAGAGAATTTTTGACTACTTTCCTGGTCTGTTTTTACCTTATGAAGGTATTTTTGACTGTAGCTTCACACAGAGATGTCCTCCAGAACCGTATGATGGCACTCTAATCAAACTTCCTTTCAGAACTGAAAAAGAGGCTCAGAAGTCATATATATGCACAAAGGCATATCACAAAGAAGATATCACTGGCTTTTATCATAACTTCACCAAAAATTCACAGACTCTCCTACTTTTTCTCAAGAACATCAATACGCTGTCCCTGGGAAGTATCTCCAGTAAAGCAACAACACTAAAACAAGGTGAAGTTGAAACAATTGTTTCCATGTCAAAATCAGTAGAGAGCGTTCCAGTAGAAGATAAAACTATAATATTTAAGCAACGCCAAGCTGAGACTTCTCTGTTGAAACACGATTCCCAATGCAAAAATATAATCGACAGCAGCACAGTCAGTATTGTCCATATCTATAGCCAGCATTCTAACAAAACTGAACAACAATCTTGGCTCATTTACAGCTGTTTTGGCACAGGTCAGTCTTTGAAAATGGTTCTTCAACCAAAGGAGAAAGCTGTGTTCTCATTGCCAATTGGAGGGATTGCTGTGCCTTTACAACAAGATACAGAAACTGGAAAATTCTTTCCTCCAAAAACAGATCTTATTGGACAAGCATTTTGCTTCCTTCCTCTTCCAATTCAAACTGGGCTTCCTGTTAATATCAATGGTACATTTGCTGTGATGAGCAACAGAAAAGGTCTGTGGGAAAGTGGAGTGAAACATGAGTGGAACAAGGCTCTTCTAGAGGATCCTTTGGTGACAGCCTATGTTACAGCACTTTTGGCACTAAAGAAAATGTCAGAAAATGGGGAGCTAGAGGCTTATTGCTATCACACCTTTTGGCCTGAGAGAGAGAAAGTGAGTGATACTTTTAAGCCTTTGGTGGATGAATTATACTCTAATATTGCTCAGTCTTCCACTGGTCCAAAACTGTTTTTTGATGGAGAAAACTGGTGCTCAATGGACAATGCAATCTTTTTACATGAGAGCATAGAAGAAAATGGCAAAATCAATCAACCTGCAGCTCAGGTGTGCAAAAAATATGTAAAGGCACCAAACTGTGTTGTTCCTCTTCCTCTTTGGTTAAGAAAGAGTTTCAAACAGGCTGGCTTGAAAAAGATTTTACAGAACCGGACTTGGACCTGGGAGAAATTTTATCAAGAAGTGGTATTCAAAAACCTTGATGCCATGGACCCTAAGACCAGAGACACTCTTGTGTTGCATGCAGTTGACCTCAACCTGAAAGGAATTAACAGTCTGCTGAAATCTTATCCTTGCATACCAACAAAAGATGGAAATCTTCAGTATATCAAGAAACTTGTCAACCCCTCCAGTAGAGTGGCTTGTCTCTTTGAGCCAGAGGAAGGACGCCTGTTGGGTGGAAGCAAAGAGGACTTCTGTTCCCCCAAAAGGATTCAACGCTTGCTGGAACTTGGAATGGCAGGTGATCATCTTCCACTGGAGGACATCACAGAAAAAGCATGCAAGATGACAGAAATGTGGAGTGTTGACAAAAAGAAAGCATATGATAATGTAACTTGCCTCCTGGAACTTCTGAAGGAACACTTGGAAGAAAAAGATTCCCCTCAGTGGGAAAAATTGAAAATGACTACATTTCTCCCAGCATTTTCCCCAGGTGACATAAAGATGAAAAAAGATACAATACTTCAAAAACCCACAGCAGTGTTCAGTGAAAGGTCTTCCCTGCTTGTAAACATGATTCATCCTGTATTGGATCACATCAAACTGAAAATACACAGCTCTGATCCTGTCCTAGACCTTTTAAGTGTTCAAAGCAGCCCAAAGCCAGAGACTGTCCTTCAACAACTGAAAGAGGCTTGTAAGCATTCAGATTCAATTGACACATCCATGCTTCCCAAAATAACATATGAGTGCTATAAGTTTCTGGATCAATGGATCAGTGGAAGTGAGGACACCACTTTTATTTCAAAACAAGCTAATTCATTTCCCTTTATTCTAACTGGCAACAGATTTGTTAATATCAGCTGTGTCGCTGAAAATGAGCAGTTTGAAGCTGAACCTTATCTCCATGTGCTTCCACGTGCCTTTGCTAGTTTTAGGAATCTGTGGGACACTGTTGGTGTCGGAAAAAAATTCACCACCCATCAGTTTCTGTCAGTGCTTGAAAAACTTCACTCCCAACACAAAAACAGTTCACTACCAGAAAAGGATCTATCAATTTGCCTCACAATTTTAACCAAAGGGATATTTGAGGCAAAACAAAAACCAACTGAAGACTGTTTGATACCAAATGAGCACAGAGTTTTACAGTCTGCCAAAGAGCTGTTTTACAATGACACCCCATGGATGCCAATTGCATCAGATATTACCTTGTGTCATGAAAATATCCCTCGTCCCATGGCTATCCATTTTGGAATTCAAACAACCAGGCATCATACTCTGGAAAACAACACAGTTGACAACTTTTCGCCTTTCTCCTTTCATTTTGAACAGCAGGAACAACTAACAGTTCGAATCAAGAACATAATTTCTGCATATCCATCAAAGAAGGACATCCTCAAAGAGCTGCTCCAAAATGCTGACGATGCTGAGGCCACAGAAATCCATTTCATTTGGGACAAACGGCAGCATGGAAAAGAAAAAACATTTGGGGAAAGATGGAATGATCTGCAGGGTCCTGCCCTCTGTGTGTTCAACAATAAAGTGTTTTCTGATGACGACTTGAAAGGCATTCAACAGCTGGGAGAAGGAGGAAAACAAAACGTACAAGGAAAGATAGGTAAATATGGAATTGGTTTCAACTCTGTTTACCTCCTGACTGACTGCGCCTCAATTCTCACTGGAGATGATAAACTTTGCATCTCTGATCCCAATCAGAAATACATTGAAAGTAAGACAGATAAACCTCCAGCTGGCATCGGATATAAACTTGTAAATGATTTCAAGAAGATGTATGATGATGTCTACAACTCCTTTCTTCCTGCAGAATTCCCACTTAAAGAAGGTACCATGTTCAGATTACCTCTGAGAACAAATACAGCAGCAGAAAGCTCAAAAATATCTCAGCATCAAGTCACTCAGGATGATATGAAGGAACTATTTTCTGTAGTCTCTGAAGATCCAGAAGGACTAATGCTGTTCCTGAAAAACATCTGCAAGATTGTAATTCATGAAATTGATAACATTTCAAGAAACTTTAAGACTGTCTTAGTTGTTGAACGGACTCTGAAGCAGGAAAGCAAGATACGAAAGGATGCCTATGCAAAACAGCTACAGAATGCACTGCAGTCTAAAAAGCCCTGGACCTCCAAGGCCTTTTATGAAATTTCAATTTCCACATCAGATAAAAAACAAAGTGATTGGATTATTGCTGAACAGTTTGGGTCATTCAAACATGATGATAAACTAAAACTAATTAACAAAATTCCACAGGGGGCAGTTGCTGCACGTCTACAGCTAAAGACTTCCCACTCAATCCTGTCCAGGAATAATGATTTCGAGGGTTCTGCCTTCTGTTCACTTCCATTGCCTGGGAAAACTGGACTGCCAGTACATGTGAATGGAAACTTTGAGGTTGATTCAATCAGGAAAAACCTTTGGAAGGAAGATGGTCAAAGTCTGAAGTCACAGTGGAATGAGAGTATAAAACAACAAATCATTGCCCC